TAGTGATTTAATCTGCGGGTGGCAGAAATGTGTTACCTTCTGAAGCTCATTATTAAAGGGTATTTCTGTCATTCTAATTTCCCGTGCTAACAGGTTGGATTTTATTTTAAATGAATAATCATGTGTGCCAGGAGGAATTAGCAGTGGAGTCGCAGACTGCCACGTTTTAAAGACACCAAATGAAAATATTTATGTTTAACGATTAGCAAAGGAATTGCCTCCTTAAGGGGAAAATCATCTCCCATTTCTTCCTTGTGCTGCTTGGAATATTAATGCGAGGGATGGCCTTTCTGATATTATATCTCCCAGGCTGCTGCACTCACAAAAACCATCATTAAGCACCATAGATGTGCATCGTGCTCAGAGTGAAGACATCCTGTATCAACTGGAATCCTGCAAACAAATGACACAGACATACTGCGTATAGACTGCAGGACGTGTCACTATGTTCGCCATTCAGTTTATTTCTCAGTACCTTCCAGAACGCTGCATCTGTTGCTGAGAGATCCAGCCTGATGATCCAATGCAACCCCCCCTGTGGTGAAGCCCCAGACTCTATGGCCACTCTTTACCATTAGGGCCTACCTCTCCTCGTTCCTCCCACCAACATCTCCCCACTCACAATACTTCTCATCTCACACTCGGCTAACTCCACAGAATATTACCCTTTAATAATATTCAAAGTGAGGCCCTCTCTTTCTGCTCCGTATACTCATTTTCTCAAGTTTGTTGACATTTGCCTGTCTGTCTGTTTGTTTGATCACTGAATGGATCGGCGGCTCCTCGTTCTAACAATGCAGCTGAGACTCCGTGGATTACATGGCTGGAATCGTCGTCGGGGTGTTGGGGGAAGGCACAAGGAACACAGGCCAACACAAGACTGTGTATTTATACTGATAATTATTTCTACTCCGTCCACCAGCAAGGCAAAAACTCCCAAAGAAAGCACACAAGCTAATTTGTTTATCTACAAATTTCTCCTAACCATTTTTGCCCATAACTCCATGTGGCTGAAAATGTAATATTCAGTTAGAGCAGTGGTTCTCAAACTGTGGGGCGCGCCCCTCTAGTGGGGCGCAGTGGAATTACATGTGGGGCGCAGGGGGAAATGCAGAATATATATATATTTTTTTTTTAAATTAATTAATAAATACATGGCGAAATGCCTGTACTTTCGTGTAAATGTTTACGTTACGCTGTTAACAGGTTACGCTTGCGCATGCGCGACAGCCATGATCCTTGGCGACTCTCATGTGTGGCTTAGTGTTCAAAATGAAGAGACATTTGGCAGGCAGGAACAGAAAAGCAACAGCAAGCAATGCATCCGAGACGAACAGCAAGCAGCCAAAATATGATGACGATAAAAAGAAAATATGATGACGCCTATCTTGCTCTGGGTTTCACAGTGAACGCGGTAGGAGATGAGGAGAGACCAGTCTGTGTTTTATTTCTGAAAACTCTAGCTGCGGATAGTATGAAACCCAACAAATTAAAAAGACACTTGGAGACATTACACCCCACTCACATCAATAAGCCACTGGAGTTCTTTCAGAGGAAACTTGATGAATACCGCAAGCAAAATGCAGTGTAAAACTCTTTATAGCCAAATATTTGAACTTGTTTTGTTTAGTTTTTCACAGGTTGCACTTTATTGTTATCTTGAAAAGATGTTTAGTGCAAAACAGGTTAATTGCAGCAAATTGCAATAAGCTATTTTTTGCCAAATTGTAGTTATTTTTTGCACAGATATAACTTTATTTGCATTGTTCTAACAAAGTGATTGCACATTTTATTAGTTTTTGTCTGATGGATCAATCTGGTTTACTTAAAAGTGATTGCAAGTTTCTTTATTCTATTATTTGAAAAAGCACAGACGGAGGAGTCACAAAATGTTATTTCAATAAAAATTCAACATAGACCATTTTGTTACAATTTTGTTGGGGCGGTGGGGCATGAACATTTTTCTTCCTCCAAAGTGGGGCATGACAGAAAAAGTTTGAGAACCACCGAGTTAGAGGCTGTTTTGGGATTTCTCTCCACTACACACTGTGCCTGTGTTGTACTAATAACGTGTCCCTAACTAAATGTTACAGCTTCTCTGAGCATTAATGACCTGAAGACAGAGGATACAAATGGAGGCTTCAGTGTGAGCTCCGACAAAGACGCTGGACACAAGACTGCAGGCTGGTTCCGTCCCTTCATTACTAACATACAGTTATAGCTGATGGGTTCTGGTCATTGTTTGCTCCCGACCATGTCGAGACCAGAGCATTAAGATTTTCCTTTCACAATCGGCTGCTGCAAACTCTCAGTCAACCGGACTGTAATTGGCAGGATATCACTACTCCTCTCTGGTCCTGTTAGTTTCGCTGTTGCAGACGTGGCAGAAAAACAGACAAGATGTAAATTCATCACCTCGGGGAGTTTCAAATGCATCCACCCATCCTTTTCTCTCTTTATCGGTTTCTCTCACTGCTGCTCTCCCTCTATCTCTCTGCCTCTCCTAAACATTGCGGTCTCTTTTATTACCCTCTTGTCTATCTCTTGCGTTGTTCTTTGGCTTATTTTCCTGTTGTGTAACCACCACCGTGGTTAGCTAATCATAGTGAAACCTTCACTGTGTAACTGGGTGACATTCGTAAACAATGACTCAGACAGAGACCAAATGAGAAATCGCAAACACGTCTTGTCCACTGGTTGTCTCTTTAGTCATCAAACGAGGCGCTGGGTGCATGGCATCTAAGATCAGATCTCAGCCCTTCTGCAGGTATACATCAATACATCACTAATGAAACAAAACACTTTGCCGGTACAGCGATAAGACAGTGGAATGGCACTCAACTCCAACAGTGCAGAAACAGAGTTAAAAATGCTCTCAGCAGCAACAGTAATATTCGATATAGAGGCCGCATACAGATTTGTAAATATTAGCATGGCAAAATAAAAGCGTTATAGCTGCTATTTGGAAGAAAAAATTAGGTTTCCAGCAGAAGTCACGTTACCATCTGGGTGAATCATTTTAACTATTCTGGCTGATGGCCGGCACCACAAGTTCAGTGAAGGGCATTTTGAAGAGGCAAATAGCCATGGGGGGGGGGGCATCCTCAATTAGCAGGCTTTCTTTGAGCCTCAGCTACCTTGACTCCCAATTTTCTGTCAGTAATTACTCCATTTACAGGAATATCATGTACGCAACAGAGAGAATGTTTGATTAACCGGGTGGGAGGAAAAAGCCAGGATGTGGAAGTGGCTATCTGCTGCTGGATCCGGAGAGGCTGGGTTTTTGTGGAACATTGGTACTCAGGTCGTGTAGCCAGGAAATGATCATAATAATTGTGTGTGTGAATGTGTGCTCATGCAGATCTGTATGCATGTGCGAGTGCCTGGCGTGTGTGTGGGCAATTCAACTGGGCACATTTTAACAGAGGAAGTGCTGCACTGAGTCTTTTTCAGCTGGTACTGTTGGCATGAGTAGGTGCAGAACAGTGGCTGGGGCCATGCTGTGCTGCAGAATGCATGGCAGATGATTGCCGCATGCAGTTCCTGTATATTGCTTTGATCAGGTCTTTTCTTTTGCCGAGATAAATGTGGCGCCCTGCTTGTCCCTGATTGAGCCCTCCGATATTCAACCATATATACTGTTCATTCATACCAAATACCCTACAAATAATAATGCAAAAGCCCCCGTGGACTATTAAGATTGTAATCAAGGGAGCAATCAGGAGCAATCAATCCCCCTATGAATAACATTTGAAAGCATGTTCGAGCAATACTGTATGTTCATGAAGCTCCTGAGAAGAATACTGAACGGAAGATTTCTCCTATGCTTCTCCTATGCTTGTTTTCTTCGCTTGGCTTGTGATAAATTATAAATGCGTCTCCATGTCTTCAGTGTGAGTTGATTAGATGGGCACTACGGTCTATACTGTAAAGACAATGGAGGGACTCACCACAGGGTATTGTAGGTGTGTTACAGTCAATACAGCCAGGCAGACACACTTAATATTGATTTTTTTTTTTCTCACGTGTTCCCACTGGAAGGACAGATTCTCACCCGTTAACAGACATTACTGTAGTTAAGCACTTTGGGCTGAGCCTCCGTTTTGTTTCACGCAGCAGTGACCGAGATTCTGTGTATTACGTGCATGTCACAGCTCAACCGGGCCTCTCACACAGCACTGTGGCAACCACCATTAGAGGGTATTGTAGACATTTCACAGCTCAGTGGAGAGAAAGCATGGCTCATGCAAGTGGACACAAATACGGAGAGGCATCGACACACACAAACAAATCTATGCACGCATATGTAAACACACACACACACACACACACACAATGAAATGGACACATTTATTGTCTTCCGGAGATTAAAGTGCCTCATCTTGTGAAACCGTGCTGATGCAAGATGATCATGCCAGGTTATCGACTCCCATGTAAGGCCACATTTATCAGTCATGAATCATATACTGTCAATCGCCTCTGTGGTCAGAGTGGGACAGAGGTGCTTCATTTGTGGTGAACGCGCTCTGCTTGAATTATTGAACGCAATAAACTCGATAGGATGTGTTCCCTGCACTATGCGTGCCGGGGTCGATGCATGCATGCTCTATAATCCTCCTGTGGTCTCAGTCGCTACTATAAAGATGTAAAAGCCCAGATGAGTTTCCTTAATCAAAGGCCCACAGGAGCCGTTAATAGATTAAACACTCCATGTTGAAAGCACACCACTGTGTCTTTCTGCCTAAACCCTGGGGTGCAGCCTATTTATGCCATTTAAATAGTTACCATGGTAATGAGGTCACGCTTTGTTTAAGCTGATTTTGATCTTGATGTATTGAGAAGGCAGTGGGCCTCCATGTCCATCATCTAATTAATGAATTATGACTCAGAAAAATAGCCAGTATTCTCAGAGCCAGATGACTCCGGCATCTTTCAGAGCTCAGGCGGGGGAGGGGGGGGGGGGGGGGGGGCTCTGCTTGTGTGTAGCCTCGCTGCCTCAGTCATTACAGCTCTGCATCATTATGAGGTCTGTGTAATTAGCTGAGGTGTAATTTGGTCCCTTATTTCAGCTGTGAATCTGTAGTTTTCTCCATGTTTGTGCTCAGTGAGAATGGCGCCAGTATTGTTATCTCGCCCAGAGCTCGTCCCCATGACCTCGGGGCTTTGTAGCGCTCTACTGCCATCCATGGGTGTGCCCAAATGCTGCCATTTCAGCAGTTGGTGGCCATTTTCACCGTTTGAACTGATTAAAAATGCCCTTTATAGAGCACGCACACTAGGAGCAGAGATTTTTTTTTTTATAGATGTTTATGATAAAGCACAAGGCCGTGTTGGCACATCTATGTGGAGGCACGAGAAAGCTGCTACACACTTTAGTGCATGCAGAAGATGATTGATGATTTTCACTACACAATTACCCTGGACAAAAGAATTCACGATAAATATACTATCACAATATGTATAGATCATTTAAAACAAATTATAATAATAATGCTATGAGTCAAATTCATCTTTAACTTTGTTTATTGTGCATCCTGTCTCATTTTTGGCAAATGAATTACAAAATACGGGTATAGGGAGGGACAACTATCACAGTTAGCTTGAATACCAATGCATCACAACACTCCAAATCTACAGTGTGCAGTGCAAATCTAATGTCAAGCATGCAACAAGACAGCTACGATCACCACACTGAGTGTATGAGCTCAGGACAGAAATAGTGGAAGCCAAGACGCGTGCAGGATAAAGGAGAAACACATGATATGATGCCACTTTTTCTCATTGCCAGAGGGGCCAAGAGAGACAACAGAGAGAGGGAGAGAGTGAGAGGAGATAAAGACTAAATAAAATTCACAGAGAAGGAGAACAAAAGAGAGCGACAGAGAATTGGAGATAATGACACAGCAGAGTAGCAGCGAAAATGAGGCTGGACAATTATTAGAGTGAAAATGATGAGGAATGTCTGTGAAAATTAATGAAAAGGGATTAAATTAATACAGGTTAAATGGTTGACTTCCTCTCTTGCTAATGTTTAATGAAAGCGTGTTCTGCCAACAGACTCTGTGATTAGACAGTTGATTGGCAGAGCCTGGAATTCTTTGAGGTCTGGCAGATTGTCTTCATGACACTCATTATTCCCATCCTTTACTGGGTCCATCCCTTTACAAAAGATGGCATCTGAACTGCACTTTATGAGAGGAATTTTACGTTTGAAAGAGTTCAGGTGCACTCCGCTCTACACAAGTAAAGCAAATACATAAGTTATTAACAATGCTCCCGGATGAAAAGACGCCTTGAAATAGAAGAAAAGAGCTCCACGGTGACAACCTCAGAGAGAAGATATGATGTGGGGGTGTCTGACGGCAGCCTCTATGGCTTCAGTTATTATACACTCAGCAGGTGCCGCATGCACATTTTTCTTATTGTCACCGATGAATAAAGACGTGTCAGTTCTCTATATGCAATGAAAAGCATTGCCATCAAACTAGAAAGAGAACAGAGTTGTCCACATCGATGTTACCAAGTCACAATGAAAGCTAAAGAAAAGAGAAAAAAAGAAGACTTGGGAAAATTCATTTTGTACCCATTTATTAAGTGATCACAAGACAGTTTGGGTCATTTTGAGACCAGAAAATAGTTATTGTGTGATCATGAAAGCTTGTTTTATCATTTTAAGATCACGAGAAAGCCTTAAACATAAAACGAGTTACACACATGGCCTTTTCCATCGGCAATAATAACTGCTGCCAACTCTGTGAGGAGGACCAATTCAAGTTTTAAGTGATGACATTTTTTTTTAAAATTAGGACATTCTGGCTTGTCCTGTGTTATCAAATAGTCCTTAATAAGGGTTGGGGTAAGGGATGTAGTTGTCGGTTAGGGGCTATAGGGAAAGCATTGTGTCAAATATGATCCTCACTAGTTTGGAGTAATTTGTGTGTTTAGTGTCTATTGCACACGGAATCATTAAGAACATATTCAACAGTCAAACTGTACAAATTGGGACCACTGGAAGACAAATTAAGATATCAATGTGCTGTAGCCATGGATTTCTACTGGCAGTGAATTATCGAGCTTACACCTTGCACAGTGACCACACAGCAGTACATGGGGTAAGTGATCTCTCGGAGTGATTTTTCATTTTCAGTCAGCCCTCTCACTTGAGTACCTGGTTTTCTTTGAGGAGGCCAAGAAATGGAGCTTAGTTAACTGAAGATAGAAGGGTAAAGGACGTCCATATTTATGTTTGAACCTTTGCTGCCACCCTGTGAATGTGACGATTACTGCATTCTCTTTACATGGTGGTGCAGCAAAGCAAATGTACATTGGTACATGACAAAACAAAGGTTTCCTCAGCTACATGAAACTTGCAAGGGAAAAAATCTTGAATATAAAATGAATACTTAATACAATTTCAGTTAAAAGCTGAAGATACTTTATTATGTATGATCATTATAATGATCGATTACATACTACTTCGATCGATAATGAATCCCCTGTGAAATGTAATCAGATGATATATTTGACATATTCACTTGGCTCCAGGCTATTTCCAACATACCCCTGGACCGTGGCATTACCCTTCTAAGAAGCAGCAGTGTGTGCGTGTGTGTGTGTGTGTGTGTGTGTTTATATACTACTTTAACCTTTTTCTCTCTGTTAGACATGGAACAGTGCGATTCGAAACAGCGCTGCCACATGCCCCCTCACATCACCATGACACATTCCCATAAAATGACAACTACCTGTCACCAGTTATTTATATGGCACAACAATGACTGTCACTGGCTCGCTCTCTGGCTGTGTGTAAGGCAGCATATTGGGTGTGATTCCACCGGTAACCACAAGGGGTCAGTCTTGCTGCAGAAATAGAGGAGCAGACACAGGCGAGACTGACGAGGGAGCAGCAGGTGAGCCGAGGAGGACTGACATTTTTTTGGATGGGGCTCAGAAAGCTGTCTCTTCTCATATCACTTCACAGTGCACCCCGCACAGAGCAGCCCGTATCACTCACCCAACGTGACTGTGTGGGGAAAGGAGCCCATCCGTGGCTGACAAACTGAATAAGTCAGCAGACCAGGGCAGCAGGCAAGGAAAGGAAAGGAGATGACCTGGCCGTTTTGTCTGAGCAGGACATTCTGTCATCATTATTCACGGTTGTTTAGGGCGTAAAATGACACTGCCAGCTGTCCAGTATGCTGCTGGAAATTGTTGCGAGGAGACGCTTCAAGTTTTAAAGAGAAATTCGAGACCCCGTCTAGTTCCCGTTCCCCTCATTTCATCTGGGCCATTGCGGTAGAGGCGAGTGGCCAAATATGACTTTAAAACTCTAATCTAAACTTCAGAACACTTCTTAAATCCATCCTGAAATAAGCTCAAAGCACGGCTGAGGCATAGCCCCTGAGGTGAAATGACACCAAAATAGGCAGCAAAGCGATTGGTATGATATCTGACACTGGCTTACCTGCTGTGATTGTGCTGAAAGCTAAAGCCATTGGGATTATAGCAACATGACAATGGTAAAAAATGTACCACTTTAAAAACAACAACATAGTAATAGCTTTTAATAGCTTCAATATGTTTTGTCATATACGTCAATTCAATCATCCGTCTCAGAGCGTAAGCAGCAGTAAGTGTCAAGAAGACGTTTAAGTGAAGATGGTGATATGGTTACGCCTCGGACATAGTGGAGTTGGTAAGATATTGTAAAAGTGCAAGCTACAGTCGGATTTAGGATATGCCATGAAGCAGAATGACGGATGAGCTGTCAGAAGCAGCCGTGGGCAGCAGCACCTGGATCTCTCCCACATTAATACCTTGACGGCCATGTCTCCCCTCACGAATCCCTGGCTTTAAATCCATCCATCCATCCATCATCCTCCATCCAGTACAGACAATGTGATGAGGACAGCCTACTTTGCCTGGAATGCCTTCTGAGCACACATGCCACATAACATAGAGCAGCAGATCAGCTCTCTGAAATCAGCCTCAGAAATAAGTACACACACACACACACACACACACACACACACACACACGTCATAAAAGAATAGCCAAACGTCAGAGAAAGAGAAAAGAATGGATACATGCATGCAAAACAGGTCTGGCAAGAACAGAGCCGAGGCTGATTGGGAGGGGTTGAGACAGAGAGGCAGCCAATGCGCAGCTCTGCATCTTGAGGAAGAGAGGGGAAGAGAGCGAGAGAGAGATAAGGGTAGAGTGAGGAAGTGAGGGTGAGGGAGGGGGTGAGGCTGAGGCTGAGGCAGTCACTCTGAGAGGGAAGATTCCAGCGTGATGCTGCTGGATGTGAGCTGCTCTCCTCTAACCGGTCTCTGGCTGTCCCTTTGACCGAGCCAGCGGTGTGCGAGTGTGGTAACTGTATATTTACCAGCTCTGGGGCGCTCTGCAGCTGCTCGTGCTGAGGCTGAAGCTGACTGGCCGGATCCCTGCCTGGGCTGCCTGGAGCAGAGAGGGGTTTGACTGGAGCTGAGGTCCAGGGCAGGGCAGGGACGGCACGGCTGTAGGGCCGTTTGCACCGGCGGCCCCACAGGGGAGCAAACATGAGCGTTCCCATGCTAAAGATCGGGGCGGTGCTCAGCACCATGGCCATGGTGACCAACTGGATGTCTCAGACTCTGCCCTCACTGGTGGGACTCAACGGGACAACAATCTCCAGAGAGGGCACCTCGGAGAGGATTGTCAGCGTGCGTATGACTTCCTTCGCTTTTTTTGTGTGTGCACTGTATCTGTCCCGCTGTGAATGTTCGAAAGAAAGAGATGAAAGAGTGTGACACAGCAGATGACGGAGGGAGATAGTTAAGAATCGGAAAGATACTAGCATGCAAGTTGATATGTTTAACTAACAGCTGAGTTGTTTCAGACAGGGGTGTGCAGATGGGAGAGGGAGCGTAAGAATCTGTCTCAAGGGCTGTGATGTATCAATAAGAGAAAGATGAAGGAGGTAGACGTGCATGCGTTTCAAGCAAACGTGAATGATGAACATGTTGGTGTGTGAGTCACATTAAGAATAATGCTGCTGAATTGTGCGATTGTGAGAGGCGGAGGACGCAGCGTGAAGGGCCGTGGTAAATCATATGTTTTTGCCAGGGTGACGGGAGGTAGAGAGCGGTTCTGAGTGATGTTCAGGCTGATCCCATCTGTCATTCACCTCCAGGGTGAGAAGGATGGTGCTCAGATCCAGAGGTGACGGGGAAGACGGGGAGGTTGAGACAACGTTACAGTTTCGAGTACGTCTTATTTCGCTCCGTTCGTCTCAAAATCCTCTCAATCTCAAATAATACTCTGGCATGAAGGGAGATCATAAAGGTTTGGAGAAGACAATGTTTTGTAACTTTAAAAAAACAAAACAGTTTTGGTTGAGTTTTTTGCTAAGGTTCTATATTTAAATTTTGTTTACACAGTAGTTTGTCTTCCGTTTAATGCGGACAGGCACACACCAGCGTTGTGTGTCTGTCTAACTCAGTGTGCTAATGGGAGGTAAGGTAGAGGATGAGAAGTATCAAGCAGCCAAATAAATGAGATATTTTCTGGTTCATCAGCGGTTAATGATTGCCTTTGACTCTATCCTGAGTGTGTTTTTATGGCACCTTACCCATTAAGCAAATGCCTTGGTCTGTTGAAATGATTGGATGAAATTGAACGTCCCAAGAGATCTACGACCATCTGGATGTGTGTGCGCGTGCGTGTGTGTGTGTGTGCGTGCATGCGTTAATGCGTGCGTTCTGGCCTGTATATGCGTTTGTGTGTTTTGATATATGCCCTGACTATGTTTAGGCATTCTTGTCTCAGGGGTGAAGGTCCATCTGTTTGAAGAAGAGTTTTTTTATTGGTTCGTTGAAGCATCAATCCCTCGCTTTATGTCTCCTTTGTGTTGCAGTGAGGTTTTGGGTTTGAATGTCTTCTTTTGAGAAAAAGGCATCTTAGCAGAGATGTAAAAAATGTCAAGCACCCAGCTAAAAGCTTTTTCATTCATTTCTTTTAATCTTTCCTACAACATGTACATATTGCAGCAGGTCATTTTTTTGAACACAACATCAAAGTAAAATCATAATCTAACCTCTGCAACAATGTCAGAGTGCAAGGCTTTGTTTGAGTCATTCACAGCACTAAACATGATAATCCTATTGAACACCCACCTTTCCCCCGGGACGTATGGCCGGGATAAGCCAGCCATTTATTTTCTATAGCTGCTTATCCTGCTCAGGGTCAAGGGGAATAAAAACCGTTTCTTTTCAGTAAACCCATTCTAATCAAGACTCATGACTGGAAGCCTCATCATTTGCATTTCAAAAGACTGGCTACAATAAAATGTTATACATAGTTATGAGTGGATATATTTCTTTCAGGCAACTTTCATTCGCAACCTATCGAGGAAAAAGGGCTACCATTGAAGTTCATTTCATCAAAACTGATGAGCCAGTGTGATTGCGCCAGGGGTTATTACAGTATAACAGCCTGTTGTGATGGGAAATGTCTCCGCTCTGAGACAGGAATAATCTCCTCTCATAAACAATGGCAGCCAATAAAACTTTAATGTAAAACCCAGCCTCAACATCCCATCACTATTAATGAGACGTTTGCCTGTGATGATCTAAGAAGCAGTCATGACTCACACAATGTTTAGAGCTCTAATCAAAGATAATCACAGTGACAATGTGGTGCTAGCATGCCAGCGGCCATTGCATTGTGTGGCTGCTCCCCCCCCCCACATGGCATCCATGCATGCTGTGTCCCATATTCTCCCAGCTCAGAGCTATTTGCAATGTCTGCTTCACTTGCTTGCTGCGCCCGTCTTTTAACCAGCTGACCCATGAACACAGCTGCCTGAGTTTGTATGTGCCCGTCTGCGATGGCACCGAGCACAACACTGCCTGGATGCTTGCGCACATCTGGATAGTAGAAAACCATGTTCCTTAATGAGCGGGAGAGACCACTCTAACACTTGTATGCACTTGAACTAGTGGGGCTGCACTGGATGATCATGTGAAGAAAAGCTGTCGACCTGCCAGGCTGTACGCACATATTATAATAACAACAACACATTATTCATCCATTCATAAAATTGGCATTTATTCTGCAGTTAGCTATATTTGATATTCCTTAAGTGCAAGAAGAAATCTGGAATGGTATTTTAACATTAATTTTAAAGCTGAAATCAAATCAAAGGTAACACTGCAAATCTTGGACACAGTCACCATGGCACTGCCAAATTTGTTTTGCAACATGTTAAAGCTTGGGATACATTGGTAAAACTAAGAGTACGCTAGATTTGAAACGTTAACCAACTGAAAAACACGTTACCAATGGTTTTCCAATGAGAGTAGCAGCGCTCCAAAAGTTGCCAAATGTAGCAGGAAAGTCCCCAAGTCAGCAACACTGACAGCCCCGTCCCTCCAGGCCTCCCTCCAACGCCACAACCACACCATTATCATAATGATCGTAAACAATGTAAACAAAATGTAATGTAAACTATTGCAATTACTCAAAGCTGTCGAGCTATAGGCTTGTGGAAGACTCCGGTAACGGGCAGAGTGTGTGCAGGTAGGTAGGCAGTTGATTTCTGTCTGGATGTAAAGAGAATTTCAACAAAAGGTTTCTAAAATACACTGCCCACCCATAGCTTCAATCACTAAACATAATGACTTTGTTTTATCTGCATTTTAGCTGGAGTGAATTCTGAGCCACCCACCTGAAATGCAAAGCATCATTTAGTGCAGTATGGTCATAATACTTGCAAACAAGTTTCCCAGCGGTAAGTTGTATAATAAAAACAAGATTAGTCCAAGAATTGAACCATGGTGTGCTCTACAAGATACAGCCAAAATAAAGAGTCTATATTAACATAATGTCTGCTTTATATCAATAATGTGATGGACACAGTGCGTAAAATAAAGGATTACTCGCACATTATAGTTTATTGTTAAATAAAACACATTTTGTTTGTACGTGTTCACATGTGTGCGTGCGAGATATGCATACATAAATCATTACAACTTTACATACTGTGGTAGTATACCCATAATACTGCACTGAAAGACAGCACAGTATTTGTGTGGTGCCTCTCCCTCTGATATCTAAAATAAGAAAGCTGGGAGGCAGAAGAGTGAAGAGAATATTCTCACCATCAAAGGAGAGCGTAGAACAACAAATGGCAGAGCACAAAGAGCCCGGGCTCAGAATCTGATTGGGGTCACGCAGCCTCTGTCTGTCAGCTATGTGGGACCGTAAACTTTATCACAGCCACTGTGCAATCCAATAAAGCAGATTGTAAAGATTGATTCTTGGCTACGGATTGAAGATTAAACACTGATGCAGAATTTTATTTGAGCACTTTGCTTTTATGCTTATATCAGCCAACCAAACTTGATTTTGCGTTCAGAACCCGACAGGTGTCCTCTTCTACCTGTAAGTCTGCGTGAAACCTCATTGAAAGGCAATCTTGTAATATCATTCAAATTGTTTTGATACATGAGCTAATTGTGTGGCAGCCTGTGTACAAAACAGCAGTATTGATCCCAGACTCTATAATTGGTCTTATAATCAGGCTTTAGAAACGCTTCATTTGTCGTTACGAGTGTAATTCCAATCCAGCTGAACTTGAATCATTGCTATTTGATGCAATTTGACGATTTCACAATACACATAATTCCATATTTTCCTCCATTGAACCACTGACTGTATTCTAACAGTTTATGCAATGTTTTCTCACACCAGCTACCCTGCCACTCTCTCGACTCCCTCCTCTATTTAACACCAGCTATAGTGATAGAGCTATCCTTTAACCGTCTAACAGAGGGGGATGCCAAATGCTTTACACCAGGGCACCTGGCACGGCACTAGCAGCCTGCTCCAAAGAGTATAAACGTTGTAGCTTGTTAAGTGCTGAGCATTGGCGAGTGTAGTTTTCTCTCACTTCTCCAAGAGTTCTCCAACTGAGCCCCCCTCCCCCCCACTACAAAAAAAAAAAACACTTCACGCACCTGCCCACCCCCACTGTCAATTCAAGTGTTATCCGGATTGGAACGAGTGAGATGCAGATGGGAAGCGAGCAGGACACCATGCGGGAGGGATGGCATGTCACGTGAGTGATAGAGTGGGAGAAAGTGTGAGGCAGCACGGAGGGAAAGGGAGGCAGCAGGGAGAGAGGCACGATGACTTTATGAGTCATATTATTGACTGGCAAGCATGCTGCGCTGATTGTGGTAATCGGTTTTCCTTGGGCGCAGGAGAGACCAGAGACTTCACTGGGAGTGTTCATTGAGTTTTATTGTAAAGGCCACAGCAGCTGGCCTGTGCATTGGGGATTGACTGGTTGTTAATTTGAAGAACTGTGGGGGGGGGGGGGGGGGGGGGGGTATTTGCATGTTTATTTGTGTGCGGTGAATTACGGGAATACCCCAGCAAATTTGAAAAATTGGATCTGATTGTGTGGCCATAGTATAGATAGAACAGGCATGAGCTGAGCTCTGTATAGCAGGGACAGATGTTTGCTGGGGACAAAGTTATTGTCTGGCATGAAACACAATTCTGCTGAGGGACAGAGTGGAAAAGAAAGTGAAGCTGTAAAACTTGGATAAACCAAGTTGTGTGATGGAAACAGAATTAAGAGATGGATTACATCAGTGGCACATCTGTTCATTTTGTATCCTTACTATCTCTTAGACTATCTCTCTTCGACGCCTCTTACATTTTCTAAATGCTTCTTTCTTCCTCTCTGTACAACTTTTTCTCTGTCCTTCTGTTCTTACACTGTCCATCTCTCAGATGTGATGGCACACTCAGGACCTGCGCCTGCTTCTGCCCGTTTGCCCCTGCTGCCTGCTGCTTATGAAAGTTATAATAGACTTCCCGTCATGCTCATAAAGTAAGGGAGCTGTAGATTTATGATCTCATTTAGCTCCGGCTTTACAGCAGCCAGCTACAGAGTCGGTCTAATGAAACGCCAGAGGAAGTCCATACCACAAGTTCGATTATCTAATTGGATAATCCCTCTGAAATATTTTTCATGAATTACAACACAGGGGTTCTGACTTTGCACTGTGAGGAAGCACTCAGGTAACAACACAAGATGGTTAGTTAGTTAGTTTCATAATAGTTGCACCTAAACTACACTAGCCTGGTCTCTTCTGTCGTCAGCGTACAGGAAGCAGAGGAGTGTTGGAGTCGCATTTGGTTACCACTTTTAGCTTAGTAATGGCCACACCCTCTCGTCTCATCTCCTCTTCCCCGCTCTCAGCAGGGATTTCACTGAAGTTGTCATTCAGCACTGTAACTGGCCGGTGTTTGAACTAAGCTAGAGGAAATTAGAGCCATCTCTCTCTCCTCCCAGTCAGCCTTTTTACAAACCACAACTCTTTCTATCATCGTCTCAGTGACTCCCACTTTTATTGGTTTCTTTCTATTGAGAGGATGGGCGGTTGGGCTTGGAGGACACGCCAGCTGTGGATGGTGGGACTTCACAAACACAGGCTGTAAGTCGGGACGTCATGGGAACAGAGGAAACCCTGGGGTGGCACAAAAGAGGCAGGCCAGAAATCTAAAAGAGCAATTTTCACTTTAGTGAGCGGCAAGCCCAATTGATTTGTCATCTCTCTTGCCCTCTGCGGTCTCCTATTGTTTTCACTTTAATTGGCTTTTGCACGGCAGCCATGACTGTGACAGCTTCAAAATCGGGCGCTTACATATTCCATTTCATCCCTCACATCTAATGGGTGAATTTCTGGGAGAGTGAAGAGAACACCTCCTCTCTCCTGAAACCACCGTCTGTGTCTGGGAGGAGAGGATTATCCCCCAGACCTGGAGTGCCCCCAGCTAGCCACAACTGATAGCACAGGTTATGTTATCACCACTACTCAAACATGAATAACTCTGAGGCCCGACCTGCCTGCAGTATGCAAACAATATTCACTCATTTCACTCCGCATACCCTGAATATTATTCTGTATATTCCACTGTGCACACCCTAAATATTGTTCTGTAAAACATTAGATATTTAGGAAGTTGTTTTTCCAACACTAATAAGATATCTGATAGGCAGCATGGCGTGAGCACTATGTCAAACGAACCAATTTCAATAAGCCGCTTTTCGCTGGAGAGAGGAGACTTAATCATATTTATATAAATAAACAGTGTTCCAAAACATATTCAAATTTACTACTTGCACCCCGGGATATCACTTGCATACGAGTGCTGGTATATAGATGTCACTGAAATGACTGATGCACAAAGCATATAGGGACAGAGCACATTTGCATTTCAGAATTATCTTTGCCCTCCTGCTCTCAAAACTGCTACTGTGTTGAGAACAGGGAGGTTAGTGCAGAATGGATAGGTGGGTGGTAATGAAATTGAAACTGCTTCAAATAAACTCTTAATTTCAGCCCAGAATTTATGAAACATTAATGAAGAGAGGAAGAAGATGTGATGCTGTGAAAACTCCCTGACATGGGCAAAAAGCACACGAGGAGCACAGCGTGAGTTTAAACATGTTGGAAAATGAAGAACGTATTATGATAATGCAGCCGACATGCCTCAAATATTACTTTGATGAATTTTGAACGTCTTTCTTATTACTGCCCACTATGTCACATATCATACAAAATTGGTGTGACACCAACTGTGGCTCCCTTTCAGGCTGATAGCTATATGAAATATTGATGCATCCACTTCTGCATCCATTCGCAAGAATCCTTCTTAACCTAAAGTGAATATCTGGTGTGTAGGCAGACAGCCCCCCCCCCCCTTGTATGAATATGAGGTAATTTTATCAAATGCAGGAGGATGCACACACCCTCAGAGTAACGTAAGTGGATTCTGCAGTTTCAGGCAATCGAGCCTCCGCCTGCTTACACCGCAGGATATGAACTGCAATGAGAAGTCGGTGAGAAGATCCAACGCACAGGTCCACAGCAGCCATTGCATACAGTATGCTCTCCTAACGTCCAGCAGTAATCATGCGTACAGCCCAACAATCCCTCTCGGGGGTAGAGCAGCAGTGTAGCTGCAGTTTTAAATGCATGTCCAAACGCATGCATAATAATAATCTGTACGATTTCAATCATGTAAATGCGGCATGAACAAAAAATGCACATATGGGCCGTTCTTGCTTGCATGTGCGTCAGCAAATAAATACTTAAACGTACACATTTATACACTCGTACACACATGTGCTGCAATAAATCACAAGTCCTGACAGTGAGTGAGATGTGGGCAGAGAAGCAGACAGAGGAGGCAAATCTCTCCCTCCGGCAATGGCAGAATGAAATAGACAGTCAGATGCGGTTGAAAGAAATTGGAGAAGGCCTCTGCTGTGGAGACTGCTTCTTTTGTCTTGTTTTAACTCCAACTCTGGCCTCTGTAGACCTCCGTCATCTCCCCACCTTAACAGCCTTATGAAGCTGGATTGCCCCGAAGAAGGAAGACTAATGATAAAGAAAGGTGCTGAATAACAGAAACAAAAAATTGAGCAAGTCACTGCAGGAACTGTCTGCACGCTGACTCGCATATGCATTAATATTAAGAATAATAGAATAATAATTTAGAGAGTGTGCTAAAAAGTTCCACCATAAGTCAGTCTGTCACACTGAAATATCAATAATGCATTTAAGAGAAAATATGAATGGTATATTACTCCTTTCTTAGTTTAATGAAATGTAGATGTATCCATTTTTTTTAAATGTATGAGTCAACTTAATATACCTAGAAAATAATGAAACAGATCAAATATGAAACGAATGTATATTATCATTGTCAAGGTTGACATTACGGCTTATTTAAGTCACTCACGTGGCTGTGGTCTGCTGGCCACTATTCATTTGGAGTAAGTCCGATTTAAGATTCACTGTGTGAGGAGGAAGAGGGAAAAGCAGTGAGAAGAGGAGAGGGAAGGGAGAGGAGGGGGTTGGGGTGCCAAGGGATTGGCAGGAGTGACAAGATGTGACAGCAAGCACATTGGCTTGCAGGGTGGTTGCTACTTTACACTCCAATCACACAGTCCCTCTGTCCCCCAAGACATTTTAATCTGATCCCCCCCCGACCCAAGGAGACGAGAGCACAGCACAGCACTGCTCAGAGGAAAGCAGGAGAGCGGCGCTCGAGCCACAAGATTTTATATCCAGCCTTTTTCCTTCCACTTATGCGGATGGGTCCTTAATTGTATCACTAAGATGGCTGCTCCTTCTCTCATTACATTTTGCTTCGTATGCTGAGTGTGTGTAGATGCGGCGTGAATGAACGGGTCGCCCTGGCCAGGCCTTCGCGTAAACTACGTGCAAGTGCACAGCACTACTTTTGATTGGATTAGCCAGAGAAAGACATCCATCCTCTCAGCCTCGCCCCGTCCTGCACTGGGTACGGGCTGCATTATCGATCCCGAATAGCTCCATTTCCTCTCTGTGTCCAAACTTATTAGACGCTCTGCTTTCACACAGCCTGGCCTGATCCCTGCCTCTTCCTCGTTTCTTTGAAACCTTCATTTTCCTCCCATTTGTCTTTCTTCATCCTCTATCGAGCTCATATCTCTGTCATGACGTTTGTGTTTTTCATCCCTTTGTGTATTTTCCCCCAATGTTCTTATCTTAATCTGCCACCGTTTCTGCTTATTGTCTCCCTCTGACTCTTCTATCCTCCATCTCTCTCGTCTCTATGCTGTGAGCGCCACCTCTGTTGATCTCCGGCTTCACTTTTTCTCTCTCCCTCTCTCACTGTTGCTCTCCAGTTCATACTAAAATTAGACTGCAAGCGATTTTGAGTAGTTGGAGGGATCAATTGCCATTAATTGCCTTTGGGGAAGAGTAACTTTTGACAGGGTTGCAAGAGAGGGAAAAAATGCCGTGGAGAAATTATGACTTTGCCTCTAACGTATGGTGACAGAATGGGCACAACTAATCACGATATGGGATGTATTAGTCTTTTTTTTTTTCTCTAAACACTTTCTACAACCTTTTTAAGGATTTGATACATTAATTAATTTAGAAATGTTGTATAAGGGTGCAACACTTTTCAGATTGCTGTTGATACATGCTGGCAGAATGAAATATCTTGTCTGCCATTATGCATTTTGAAAAGCCTACTTGGTAGCAATGTAGAGAAACAACAGCAGACAGAAGCAACATTTTTTTTTTTCCTCCTCTTTGTCTAAAATATATACGTCTCTCTATGTTTCTGCAGACTCTGTACCCGAGCCCAGAGGAGGGCTGGCAGATCTACAGCTCGGCACAGGACGCAGATGGGAAGTGTATCTGTACCGTGGTCGCACCGGCCCAGAACATGTGTAACCGCGACCCACGCAGCAGGCAACTTCGCCAGCTCATGGAGAAGGTGACAGCTGTCAATAACACACTCACTTTGAGACACGACTCTTCCCCACGCAGACGCACAAACTGCCACACTGCGCTGCGCTCGTGTCTGCTGGCGCCGTCTGTCACATGCAAGCAGCTGAAGTGAATAGCCTCACTTCCTTTACCCCGCAGTTAATGTAAAGGAATATGACGCCAATCAGAAGACATTGTTGTTTGAACTATTCTTTTTTTGCTTAGAGAAAGAGAAATGTCCTACACTCGCCCATGGAATTGAGCCTTAGCAGCATGTTTCTTTTATGAATATGAATCCATTTTCCAATCCATTCTTACAACAATTAAGAAAAGTAATTTACTCTGACTTGAGCTCATTCGGTTTTTCTCCAAGTGAAAAATATAAGTCAACACTGTCATGTATGACAGGCAATTAAATGTCATGTCATACAAAAACATGTCCACCCGCAAAACCCTAAAACACGCTACACTGTTTCAGCAACCGGACAATAAATCAATTTCCATTGAGTATTATTGACCTACAGTGCAGTGCATTCAAATGTAATTTCCTGCTCGTGGCTATAGTGCATAAACACACATAGATCAGGCAGAAGAGGACTTCTGCTTACAGGGGATCCACAGCTGCATGTTGACGATCCAGACCTATTGATTGGTGGTTTGCAATTGACTGTCATCTTTTCATTCTTCTCCACTTTATTTCCCCAACTAAATAATAAAAACCAAAGAACTAATGTTCAACGGCTATTCACTTGCTTGATGGGCCCACGGCAGCTCATTCACAGCAGAGTTGTTTTTTGACCAGCGAATGGGTGAATGAGAGCGAGTGAACGCTTTGGAGCAGAGAGGTGGAAAGGAGACAGGAGGGGCTGACATTGATGTGTGGTCTCGCGAGTAGAGATGGTGGTAAATGGAGATGCTGAATAGGCTCTTAGGTCCTGATGGATCAATGAGACACCTGAATTCACATATTGCATTCATTCCCGTTTGCTTTTTTTTCCTGGCAGTCTCTGTCTGCTGCGGTTTCAAGCACACGTTCATACAGACAACATCCACACTCACACATACTTTCAAAAGAAGCATATTTAAACAGAGAAGGCATATCCAGGCTGAGAAAAAGACAAACTTGATAAAGCTATTCAGAGAAAGGAGTTGTGTTCACCTAGTCATGTGGATGTATAAATGCACTGTATGTCTTTATAGGAATTATATAATACCTATAGAGACTACTGTTCCTGCATGTTTTAGGTTTTAAAATATAGTGCTGCAGTATGTGATGGGTTTAATGTTGGATATGTTTGTGTATGCTTTTTAGTACAATCGTTACTGCGCATGTACTGTAGCTCATAGCGTAGAGTAACTTATTTAATCATTTTGAGGGACGTAATTAGCTGCTTATTGGGTGAAAACATAAAAAAACGTATTGAAAAGATGAGCCTATTTCTCTGTGAAAATCAGTAAAACCTTAAATATACAGCAATCTATTAGAAAACACAGGAATACTACATTTGAAACATAATATTTGTTTGTGAAGTCTGTGTCAGACAGGTGTCAGATTTCAACAATTTTGAGGAAACAGTTTGTGTTGCTGCATTGTACTGTATATCAGTACAATACCATAAAAGACATAATAACGAAGAGATATTATAACCTTTGCAAATATGTCTTCATCATTGTATTAGATTTAATTACACAGTTGATGTTATTATAAATACACACTCCTTGTATGACACCAGTTATCCGAGCCAAGCGCTCCCGTCACATACAGTCCACAGCCCAGCCTAATGAGGACACCTGGGGTCAGCGCTACCTGAGCTGCAAAGAAGTGACACAAGTTAATAGACTATGTGTCTGTGTGTATGTGCACATAATAGCACCATACTCGCTAAGACATCCTCAGTTGAACCCAGAGCATGTGAGAATTATTTGAGCGGACCGGATCCACAAAGGCTCTCCCTGACACAGAACGCCAAGGTTCCACTAACGATGTCAAAACCATCAAAGAATGTAAAGCAGCCTTGTGGAAAAAGCCTCTATTCAGCGTTCTGCAAAGGCAGACAAATACCATCCAAGCCAGGCTTGGCCCTGAAGGACAGTGGTGTGAGAACGCTCACGGCGGCAGACTTCAGAACAACCTCATGCCCCTTTCACCTCTCTGTCCGACTGACTGAGCTGAGATGAAATACAATAGAAGGGCACAGTCAGGCATAAATACACACTGTAGGACTTGGTTCAGAGTGAGTCATTACACCCCGACACCTGCGACTGATTAGATTCTGGAAAGTATGAGTGCAGGGCCAGAAGAAAGCGTGAAATGCCTGGTTTGTGTACATTTATGTGTGTGTACGTGGGTCAGTTATCACGGATCAGAGGATGGAGATGTCCCAACTGCCACCACAGCCCAGGACGGTGGCACTGCATTTGTTTAGACTCCAGGCTGGTGTTTACTGTTACACATTCCTCCAACTATTCCATCTGTAGATGTCAAATACGTTTTTTAATTGCTGGAGAAAATATTTTCGAACCAAATATTCCCTGGCCAGTTCATGAAGCATGTGGGAGATGAGTTGTGCAGTAGGCTGGACACAAGGTAATTGAGTGGGCTGTCAAAGTGTAGGCAAGCAAGGCATTTGGTGCTAAACAAACTGTGACCTGCGAGAGTTGGGGCTGTATTTGTTTTTATTCAGAGTTATTTAAATAAGTATCTTCTGTTCAAGTTCAGTGTTCAGTGAAGTTTCAGTGGCTCGTGTCTGTGTGGGTGGGTGTCTGGTCATGTGGGTATAGTTGGACATATTTGTCAATGTTCACAGGATTGCTGGCCTGTTCAGTGCAATGTGCAGGAGATGAGGAGGTGTATAAAACAGTAGGCTGGTTATGCAGCAACAGAGTGGGCTGTCAAAGCGTGAGCAAGCGGAGTACTGGAAAAAAATTAAACATGAGAAATGAGAGTCAATAAACACCTACTTGACAGCATGTTTGCGCCTCCATGACATTTATATTTTTGTCATTACCTTATTTTTGTATGTATCCCTTAACTTGTGTACACTGTCATAATTATACTGGCCTGCAACCCTTCTCTTTTGATAGTTTTTTTTACTTTTATTGCAATATTTATGAATGCATTGTATGAATCTGTGACATTCACTTTCTGTATATAGTTTTGGGGGGTTTTTGGAGTGTGTTTTACGTGACTAAAACATGTCTTTTTGCTCACATCTACACTTTAAAAGACATTGTTTTCTTCATACTGGATGCAAAGCTCAAGCTTCTAATTTACACTTCAAAGCTGTGACAACCCTTCAATTGTCATCCACTGCAACATGAACCTATTGCTAACGTGATGCTAAATCAGTCTCTGGAGAGTTGCAAGACATCCCAGCATGCACTGGGTGAACGTTACAGAAACACCTTAGAGGCAAGGCAAGTTTATAGCACATTTCAACAACAAGGTTCATAGTGCTTCACATAAAGAGGGCAGTTTGCTGACTGAGACATCCACACCTGTGAGTTTTCAATTCAGCTGACCTGCATTGGAGGGATGGAAAGAGTGCTAGAATATATAGTCTCAGGTAAAAGTGCTGTTAATTTACTTGAGTAAAAAGTGAAACATAGGTGAGTAAAAATGCACTCTGAGTAAATGTTAGCGCGGGACATTTTGCAAAGGAAGGGGATGTGAGTTACAAAATAAATTGCGTTGAATGTCAGTGTATAGACTAGTAAAGCAACATCACACCACCGAGCCCTAATGTCTAAACCAACAATACATTCCATGTCACAAGACAGCACTTTGCTTGTAAATACGACTGATAAGCAATTATAAATATACAACAGTCATCCTCTTGCCTTACTGGAATTCACCAGAAAGGAGGACAAAACGCAGACAGTTAAACAAAAAAACTGACACCATGACGGGTGCAACAAGCATTAATATGTCACATAAAGGAAACCGTCTGCCCAGCTTATAGAATCATCAGCAGAATAAAACATCACCAAAGCAGACAACACAGAGATGTAAACAATACAAAACACCACAGCCACTGCAGCCACAAGCACAAGCAAAAAGAGAGTTTCTGCACACATCGGTACATTGACTTCAAACTATTTATTGTTGTACTCGCATGTCTGAACAGCATTCTTGGCATCTTGTGGATCACAAAGTCTTCCTCAATTTGTCCAGTCCTACAACCTTTAGACTCACTAGGCCTAGTGAAACAAGTGACAAGATGAAACAAAAGTCAGGTGGTGGGGTCCAGAAGAATTTTAGACGTTAAATATGTTTTGAGATTAGATTACAGCAAGAAAACAACATCTTGTTTTCATAGAGAAATACGTTTTATTGTATAACAATGGGGAAAAAAAACATGAATGTTGCCGTTTATTGTTTTAATTCACCTTTTTTAATTAAAATTACATTTTATTATTTCACCTTTTACTTCACGTTCTGCTGGGTATCTTAAATGACCTCCTGGTGAGCAATAAAGCCGTATTGATATAATATTAGCAGAATTTGTTCTGAATCTGCAAAGTGACTGAAGCTGTCAGGTTTATGTAGTCGAGTAAAATGAAAGGTATAATATTTGCCCCTGAGATGAACGTTAGAGCTATGGTAGCAGAAAACATTAACACTCCAGTAACGTTACAATAGCTTGAGTAAATGCACTTAGAGTTACTTTCCTCCATTGGTATGCGAGTTGAGAAACGCTATGAAGTTACCCATAAACTGAGAGTCACTGCCTCGCGATCCACTTGCCTGAGCAAATAAAGTGGCGCACTCCAAACATGACACGCGCAAAAGTAACAACGTTAATATTCGCTGCGAAAATCAAACACTAAGGCCCGACGTTACCTCATGTTTGTGGACACATTCGCCAACAATCGCTCCAGTTCAATGTGTTAGCTCGTTTCGTTCATTCCCCGTGCAGAATATAACCAGTCAACCCAGCCTCTTCTGTTTCACTGCCATCCTCACAGTTTGCATAAAGTTTGGACTGTTTGAGGCTCTGCAGTCACAACGTGCAGACTGGGATTATTAGGCCTGTTGTCAAAAATCAACAGACCTCTTCTGAAGCTAAAAAGTTCCTCAGAAGTCACCTAGGAGCAACATCCTGGGTGTGTTTGATTTACGTCGCTCAGCCTCCCTGTCAGGTGGGGCATTAAATCAGAGATGTAGGCCTATAAGGGCAGGTGCATCCTTCTTTTTTAACTATGCCGAGGTACAATAATGCTTACCATAACCATACCCCATAATGACCCTTGATCCTTCATTGCATTGCATTGTTGTACATTTTTGTACCGTTCACTAACTGCAATCCAGTTGGGAAAACCCAATACTGGGGGTCTGGGAGGCTCCAGACAGATCAAAACCTATGATAGTGTGATAAACTGCAAGGCATCAAGTTATATTGTGTTGATCCATTGAGTCATTTGACACTGAATGAGATGTGAAGATCGAGTTGTCCCACATCATGGCATTTTTTTCATTATTAATTATTCTACCTGTTACTTTCTCAACTCATCGTTTGGTCTGTTGACTGTCAGCTAACACTAAAAATGAAACGTGTTGGTGTGTCTTTCTGTGTGTGTGTGTGTGACAGGTTCAGAACATTAGCCAGTCAATGGAGGTGCTGGACCTGCGGACGTCCAGAGATCTACAGTATGTAAGGAACACGGAGAACCAAATGAAAGTGGTGGATGGAAAGCTGAAGGTGGCCTCTGAAAATCCCCGCAGCCTCAATCCAAAAGCCTTTCAGGTAAATTGGCCGTGTGTCTCCTCCTGTACGGCGCTGCGTTGTGTGTATTGTTCTCAAGCGAATGCAGATACTCTCAGATGTGACACGGCTCTCCATGTGCACACAAACTTTGGCAGATGCGTTGCGATCTCTTTCGCTCTTCACAGACAATAACATTTTGTACGACCTCTCGATAGACTGCCAAATAGGTATACAAATTCAATTCCCAAACTGTCTTTTAGTCATTGAGTTATGCTCAGAGCAAATTCACATGGTCCTGAATTATTAAACTCCTGGACCTAGAAGTTTTTTCCCCTTTCTCCCCACTCAGTCTCTCTTCCTCTACTTAACATTGTGGTGTATGCTCATAGATAACAGGCACATATATTCACATTTATCTCCACCTTATCTCTCTACAAGCTGAGGCTCAGCTACCATTATCAGCAGGCCTTTTTGTCTTCCTGTCAGCCTGCTGTCTTGACCTGGCTTCCTCCACATTTTCTCACACCCTTACAGATATTAGATGGACCATAAAATAGTTTGATTAAAAGATGCCTCGATATATGCTAAGTGTGCCTTACTGCTGGTGCCCTGCCTCAGCACAGCGACAAGCATGAATGGCTGTGTTTTGCTTTCAGTGTGTTTTATGAAAGCCAGCCCGATGGAGGTAATGAAGATGTTTATGAATCAGTCAATTCCAAAGTAAAGCCTGCAAATGACTAAAATATGCAGAATGCTATGCGTTATATCCCAGGACTTTTGCTGAATGCACATCCGCAATCAGATAAAGAGTTAAAGGAAATAAAGAAAAAAAAGTATTTTTAAATAAAAAAAAGAGCAGGATTTGACCGGAGCAGGTTGGCTGATGAATGCGTGCAGCTCAAAGGTGCCAATGGCAGCGCGTGGGAGATTAACGAGACTGAATTTTCGCAGCTTGAAAAGGGGAAAATGAGATTTATGATGTGGCGCCACAGGGCTGAGAGCTGCTCCATCACCAGATTTACGATAAACCTTAACAAGGAGGAAACAGCCCCTCCTGTGGCGGCCACACTTTATTGATGCACCTATTTCTCTCTTGAGCCTTCTACTTTCCAAGCAGGCAGCCTGGCTCTCCTGCTGCTTCCTGCACTCCTACCTAAAGACACATTGTTCTTTTCACTTCTAAACACATGAGTCACCGAGCAAGATTACGCCCGAGCAGCAACCATGCTCCTTACTGTAGGTGAAAATCACCCAAACCAGCTGAGACAATAAACAGACGTTCGTTATTCAGTGGGTTTCTAATCCACACATGGTAAATGAAAATATATCCACTTACAGTTCATACAGAGAAGCCCACACAATTCAAACAAGAAACAAGAAACAAAAAAAGCTAGTAACTGTGAAAATGTTTTATTATAGAGGTCATAAGTAATGCATGCAGTAGTTTACAGTACAGTATGAGCTCTGATTGAGAGATGATCTATCAACCAGAAGTAAGAACCGAAGATTGAAGGGCTAGTTACCCTGCACACAATCCCCCTGTGCTGACTATTGCGGTCGACCTCATCCCCCAACCTATAATCTCACAGGGTATAATCTTCTCCACCCCTTTTGTGCTATTCCATGTGTCCTTTTCTGTGATTATTGTCTTAGGAGTTGAAAGACACAGTGACCCAGCTGCTCCCCTTGCTGCCGGTGCTGGAACAGTTCAAGACGGATGCCAAGATGATCCTGCGTATTCGGGAGGAGGTGAGGAATCTGTCCTTGGTGCTGATGGCCATCCAGGAAGAGATGGGGGCCTATGATTATGAGGAGCTGCGCCAGAGAGTCATGCTGCTGGAGACCAGGCTCCACTCCTGCATGCAGAAACTAGGTATAACATGTATGCAAAATGGGTGTGGGTGGGTTGTCATTGAATGTTTCATTTTAAATTAATTCTCAAATATAATTGTAGCACTTAAACAACCAGAGTTTGGACAACATCGATATAGAAAAGAATAAATGATTAAATTAAGTTCATCAATTGTCAAAAGGCTGTTGTGCATCGGCAACAATTCCACTCACCTTCGAATTATCAGCATAAATTAAGAAAAATTGGCCAGCCTGAATGAATAATTGATCGTGTTCTCACGTAATGTGTTAGCTTAAACTGATGATTTTACAAAATCCCACGGATATAAACTGATGACTTAACAAGAAAAGACTGTAGTTAGAGTTTTGTTATTGTCTTTGATTAAGCATTTGCATAAAGCAAATGACTTAATGCGGAGAGATAATAATTAAAACAATTAATTACACACAAATACTTATAATTATGTATTTATTTTAGTTGCTGTTTAAACATATGCAGAGAAAAGAAAACTACGTTAGTCATGGAAACAGAAATCATGCAAGAATGTTTTAGGATAAATTAAGCTGAAAAAACAGTCAATCAATAAATCAGTCAATATATTTTTGCATATCACTTGTGAATTATCAATCCCAACCGCATTTTATTTCCCCCTGACATGAAGTGGAAGTTGCCAAATGATGCTAATTTTTGAAATTCTATATTATGGCTGTGGAGAATGCTACGTCTTTGATACATATGTGTTAGATGCAAACAGTGAAAAAGTGATAGTGTTTTTACAGATGTGCACAAATTGCAACCTTTGAATTGGCAAAACCATACAGGGCCTTAAAAGTAGCCTAGTGGAACACCATGTTTCGAATGCACTGTATAACTGGAGTTCCCTGTCTGTGTGTGTCTGTTTGTGTATGCATTGCCACAGTGTGTACATATTTATGTCCTCCATACAGTAAATACTTACATACATTTATATGGCGTCTTACGTCTTTCTCTTCTTTGACCTCCAGGCTGCGGGAAGTTGACTGGCGTCAGTAATCCCATCACAGTGCGTGCATCAGGGTCAAGGTTTGGCTCCTGGATGACTGATACCATGATCCCCAGCTCAGACAACAAAGTAAGTCCCCGTGTTTCTATGCTCACCCCTGAGGTGAAACGCTTTAATCCCTGCTACCTACATCATAGTTCAACAAACATAGAGCATAAAGTAGAACCAAAGTCATTGACAAACAAGTCTGTCAGCTGCTCAATGGAAAAAAAAATATTCCTCACAGTAACTCTGTCATGATACTTCAGTGACTGATTGACTGTTTTGCCTGAGTAGGACTCCTCGTGAGCTCTGGAGGAGGAGAGGCAGAGAGAGAAATGGGAATCCAAAGCTGAGTCACTGATGGATAGCATCCTGTTTCCTTCTCCCTGTCTACCTCTGTCTCTGCAACTCCAGCTGATTAATCATGCCATCATCAGTGGAGAAATAAATGAGTTGTTTGGGCTAAAGTTTGTCTAAATCACCGAGGTAATTACCAGGAGTGTGCTGAGAGGCTCTGGACCCAGATGATATAGTTATGGCTTCAGCTAATAAGAGATGACACGTGGTTTCATTTGGGCAGATACTGTACATGTTCAGAAGCAGGTGGGAAAAGACACAAGTGAGGGAGAAACTGAAGACAAATTGTGGGGCCAATGGGTGAATGGAGGGAGTGGTGGTGGTGATGGAGAAGTGAAAGAGTGGATTATTAACTATCTGCAGGGGAGAAAGGAAACTGATGAAGTTTAAGAGGACAGATGACGATGGCCTTTTTCATCCCCACAGCCATAACAGGCTGAATACATATTGCCAGCAGAGAAGGTCAATTTCTTCGATCGAATGCCCTGATCTTCGTCTTTGATCGCCGTACTTTAGATCAATCACCGATTGTATTAATAGCCAGATACATCAACAATATCACATCAACACCCGCACCAATCACGATAATCATATTTGGGGAAAAGTCATTGGGGAACCAAACAGAAAATACAACACTTGGTATTGGTATTGTGCTCGAGCTTCAGCCTGCCTCAGCTAGAGACTCATTTTGCAGGCACGGGAGAAGCAATGCTTAATGCTCCATAATCCCCCCTTCTCCATAATTCAGCTGCTGTACCTCACCTTCCCCATCTCCTCCCATACACTACCTCTCGCCCCAGTGGAATTGTTATGGAAGGAAAGTGACTGTTATAAACCTGGAAAGCAGGCGAGAGCAGGACAAGAGATAAAGAGGAGAAAAACGATGACGGGTGGTGCATCAGAAGAAAAATGACCTACATCTTAGCAAAGCTCTCCTTGATATGTTAAGGATAAAATAAATATCCAAGCCAACTGCAGTTTAATTGAATCAATTAAAAGCTGAACTGTGCCTCGGCGGATGCATTGAGGGAATGAGATGGGAGATGCAGCCAGAGAGGGGCCATGTCAGCGGAGAGATCCGCTGAGAGTGCTTGAGGAAAAAGATAGAGCTGCTAAATGGATTGATTTTTCTGTAAATGTGGGTTGGGAAAAGCCAGGGAGCACAAGCATTGGTTGACTGCAAAGTGCGGGCAACATCTTCACTCCCACATATCAATAGTTCTGCACACATGCACATGAAGGCATACACTCACACTCAAACAAGTAGAGATTCACACATATGCACAACAGGCTTACTTTGCTCAGGGCATCGCCATCGGCTATAATGAAACACTGCTCACAGTGTTGTTGCAGAGAGGTGTGTCAGGTATAGCAACATTCTCCTGTAACCTCTAGATCTGTTCGTTATCTCCTGTAGTTGTTTCCCTCTTCCCAATGGGATTCATTCTTCTTCTCTCTACAGGTGTGGTCCATGGATGGTTACTTCAAGGGACGGCGTGTCCTGGAATACCGGACAATGAATGACTTCATGAAGGGGCAGAACTTTGTGCAACACTTGCTGCCTCACCCCTGGGCAGGCACTGGTCATGTGGTCTACAATGGCTCACTGTACTACAACAAGTACCAGAGCAACATCATCATCAAGTACCACTTCCGTTCTCGAAGTGTGCTGGTGCAGCGCAGCCTGACCGGAGCCGGCTATAACAACACCTTTCCCTACTCCTGGGGTGGCTCCTCTGACATCGACCTGATGGCGGATGAGAATGGCCTGTGGGCCGTTTACACCACCATCCCCAATGCTGGGAACATTGTCATCAGCCGCCTGGAGCCCCAGAGTCTGGAAGTGCTGCAGACCTGGGACACAGGCTTTCCCAAGCGCAGTGCTGGAGAATCTTTCATGATCTGCGGTACACTTTATGTCACCAACTCCCACCTGGCTGGTGCCAAGATCTACTTTGCCTACTACACCAACACATCAAGCTATGAGTACACAGACATCCCTTTCCACAATCAATACTCCCACATCTCCATGATGGACTACAACCCCAGGGAGAGGGTCCTGTACACCTGGAACAACGGACACCAGGTGCTCTACAATGTCACACTGTTCCAGGTTATTAAGACTTCTGGGGACTGAGAGCCCTCAGGCTGACCCACTCAAATAATGCTGTGATCATTGTTCGGGCAGGGGCAAGGGAGCCGGGTGGAGGCGGGTAGGGTTGCGGGTGGTGTGGGTTGGGGGATTCAGTGTAAGGGCATTGGCTTGGATTTTTTTTTTAAAGAATTTCAATCTTCATAGAGTGCTATTGTTCACATTCTCAAAAAAACACTCCGGCAGCAATGTCGGTAAAGATACAAAGACTGAGCGCTTCTCTTATTTTTCTTTCTGTGATGAGTAAGCATGGTTCTTTTTATTTGTGATGAGAAATAAATATCAATCTTTACCATTTACGAGTTTGTATTTCATTGTCACTGTATCTCGGAGGGGTGAACAACAAAGAAACTTGGATGTGTGTACAAGGTGGGTGCTTCCAAAAATGTATAAACAGGTGTTTGACATGCAAGTATTTATTCCTCGTTGTTCACTGAAACCTGAGATATTCATATAGAAAATGTGTTTAAAGTAAAGTTTTAGCATGAAATATTAAATACTTAACATTTCTAAAATATGTTAAATGGCATAATTTCAAAATAATGAAATGGAAAAATTGTGTCTATATCTCACCGATACAGAGAGGCTGTTACTACCACAGCCGAATCACAAAATAATGAGGTGACAGCATCTGAATACTGAGGAGTCAATCTCCAGGGCTGCACTAAACCATAACTTTGAAAACATTTCATCCATTACATTACATTATGAAAAAAAAGCAAGGGCATCAAGTACTGTGTAATAAAACGGCGCGCTTCCCGTATACTCAAACAGTGTTAAATTTGACTGCAATAGCCACGGTTTGCATTTTATGCTTCAAGGTGAACTGGAAATGAATGCAAAACATCTGCTGAAAGGAAGCAGATGTTGCTGCGAAGGGTCGAGGAGCACAAATAGGGAAGGAGACGAAAAAATATATAAGAGGAATTCTAAGAGCATTTACTTTTGAGTGGGGAAATGAGGCTTCACAGTTACTGTTGCATGTCAGGCTCCAATCTGTTCTAATCTTGTTAGTCGCACCGCTCCTCTAACCATGCTTTCTGCAGAGACATGTTCAAAGATACAAGCATACAGTGGGACTCTCTGCTCACATGAAAGTCTCAATCTACAAACCTTTCATTGCACATTTGTTATTATTTGCTCCAGAAAAATAATTCTGAAGCCACCTTGACATTCTCTGCTGTATGGAAGGTAACATCGCCACAAATACAACAGCCCTCTGCGCCGTCATTGTATTCCTTTCATTTGTAAGACTTGTGAGGGTGCATCCATCCTTTTGTCTGTGGTGGACACAGAAGACATACAATAAAATAGAAGCTTCCACTTTTTTTTCCTCCTGAGAAACCATAGTGATCCTTTTCATCATGGATGACCTTTCTATCAATAAAGTGCTGTGTTGATGAGTTCACAGAGTACATGGGAGTGGATGACATTTAAAGCACAACACAACACACAACAGCACAGCACATCAACAGTGTCAGCTGGAAAAAAAGTAGTGCAGTATGAAATGGAGTCGGGAAAATAGCAGTTTTGGATGATACAAAAATGTGGAGACAGTATAGATGTAATTGTTTACCAAAGAAACCTATAAATGGGGAGTAATTAGTGAACTGCAGTTACACATAAACATATACTGTACCATTGAGGTGAGAGTGGAAGACTTGAGCTTGCTGCTCCAAGATTAGATTCGCCACAGCATCATCTCTCTGCTCTCCAACTGTCTAAAAAAGATTAAAAAAATAGGATGACCGGACTGCCCATTCAGCTGCTAAGAAAAATAGCCAAGCCTCTCCTGATTGTGCAGGCAATTATAAAACAAGGCAGCAGCTTAGTTATTGTAAAAAGAAGTCTGGAGCTGACAGTTTCACCAATGCACAAAGGTATTTAGTGTTCGGCATGACTGCTTAAAAATGGACATACACTTTCAAGGCAACACACTTTTACCCTTAACAGAGACCAGGGAAGGAAATAATGACTGCACACAGATAATGCAATCTCTGTGACCAAACCCCGACGAATAAAGTCAGCAGACTAGAAAGACGCATTAATGTGAGAACATATGAACAAACTTCTATACATTCATGTCTATTCTACTTACTTAAGACGTCGTAAAATAGACATAAATAGAACATGTTGCATCCATTTGAACTTGCATTTGAACACATTTACTTAGAATAACAATAAATATATTAAGTTATTGTCACTATTTCACTCAGTACATTTTTCTTAAAAAATTCATATGTTGTGAGAGAGAAATGCTTTTACCGAGCAGTGCAGAAAAAAAAGTTTTGTTGACAACTTTTTTCATCAAAAAATCAATTACTGCGAGTGTTTGCTGCCAGCAGCATAACCGTTGCCTCCAGCGCTTGTGAGGCAAACATCAGCTCTGTGAGCACCAGTGACTGTGCTGTTGTGCCAACTAATGCTCAGAGCCAAGGGCCAGCAAGTGAAGTGATGATAACGATAAAGATCGGGGGCATGACGAACAGCATTTAATCATTATGGGTGGCCCCATTTGAGTATTGTACCATTGTATCTGTGTCAGGATAGATCATCTCGAGCTAAGCGCGTGTCGGTGCACCACCATCTTCTTTGCTCAAGATCATCCTGAGAGTGAAAGAAAAAAGTTGATTTAAAATGGAAAAGGTTGTGATTCACGGGGCCTAAGGTTGTGTAAATGCATGCAAATTCTGAATTCTTGAAAACATCATTTGGATATATGAAGATATGTGTTAAGTTAAATGGCAAATTGGTTTATATACCATTAAAAATGTACAAAGGCACTATTTAGTATATCAGTCAGTATTCTCAGCACTGTCAACTGAGTGGTGAAATGAAAAGTATGGCGTGAAACTCAATACGATGCAACAGCAAAATTGTTGCCAATATGAGATAGCGATGATTAGTTATTGGTTTTGTGCCACCGAGCACCTGATTTATGTCTAAACCTATAGATACAATACTGAACCGGAGAAAGTGAAGCAAGAAATACTAAATGTGCAGCATAAAGTTCCACAAGATGATGTGATCACTTAGCTTGGAAACAAACAAACAAACTGCACTCGCCTATACTGAACTAAAATGAGCAAAGTGAATCAAGATGTGCAAAGTCAGCAGCCAGGCAGTAACTGACGAGAAGTATGAAACTTGTATATGTCTGTCACAAAAGATGCTTCTGTTAAAAGACAGGTGGATCATTTGTAGACAAAAATCATATGAGAGCTCTCAGTGGTGCAGCAAGACAAATATTCACATGACAGATTATAAACAAGTTCAATTTGAAAGAGGATGGAAGAGGGCATTAAATGTCTTTGATGCAAAGGGGAGTATGATAACACACATTGTAAAGCAGATTCTCTACAATTACAGAGAATAGTTGAGAATAAATATCTATTCCTGGTAAACAGCATGGTGTAGCACACAAGATAGCTCTGCATTGCACGGTAAAGTTTAAAGCCAAGCTGTTTGTCACATTTGGTCAAACGTGAGAAACTGCAACTAGTTTACCTTGAAAGACCCTTAGCCATTTCCTCCCTTACATTTTTCATTGGTGTAGGGTTCAGCGCCAGCTGTGAATTTCGCTGGAACTTAATGCAGAGTCGTACCGGGTCCCTCGGGGAAACAAAAGAATCAACTTTTGGAATTAAAGCTGCCCTGAATAATAAGCAACCGATACAGATTTTTTATTAGGAGGATGTATTAACCTACAGAAATCTCTCAGCGTGAGCAGCCTGCATTAATGCAGAGGAGAAAAGCAACAACAGACTACAGAGCGGAACCGGCGGCTCGATTTACTTGAAGTGACTATAAGCATGCTTTCTCACATGCACACGGACTGATTGAGGGCAGGTATGGCAGTGATAGAACCGGTTTGATAGAGTGCACTAGGGGTGAGCTTCAAATGCAGGAGCACAGATGGAGAGAGCGACTCAAGAATTAAGAAGCAAAAGCACTTCCCACATTAATCAGGCTGCCATCCTCGGGACGAAGGGTTTGTTTTGATGGAAATACAATGATCCGTGTGCGGAGCAGTTTCTGAGACACTCATCTTAGATTCAGTTGTAGCGTACATGCAGAGGACATTTGCCTTCAATACATATCTTAGACAGCGAGGCTCACAATTGGTCCCGCTCTTGTTTCATATGTTTGCTAATTCACTGTTTCCTTTATCCCTCAGCTTCCTCATTAATAACCCTCAGCCACACTTGGAACAACACCTCCTCACTTCCAGACTCACAAGAAACAAACTTTGTCTCTACCCCATGCAACTTGAGGGGACACAAAGGCCCTCTGAACAGTGCTTTGAATGTTTGTTTCCTTGTGATTAAACATCACTTGCACATATCTCCCCCCACATTTTGTATTCACGTCAACTCAAAAAGGATGCGAAGGCTGTGGAGATGGAATAGCGGGTTAGCGAGAGAGGAGGTAATTTTACTCCACTTAACTCCTCAGAGAAGTTTGCTTATTAATTGGCTCTAATTGTGTTTTGAGCTTTCATTGATTCAGCACTCGCATCCCTAATCTCATTAGGTACTGTTTTGTGAAGGACAGTAAAGTAGAATCATTCTGGGCTGCAACCATGGGTGATTCAGTTTTATAACCCTGATGTCCTGACGTTGCACACCTCGCTGAGGCAGTAAAGAGTTACCATGACACATGAACTGTAAGTTCTGCTGGATCCCTCTCCTCTCCTCTGTAATTATGGTGTGATACTGCTGCAGAAAAGAGATGACGTTTAGCTCTGGTGTGTTGGTAAAATACAAACATCACAATACCGCCGCAAACAGTTATGAGCAACAGGAGTCGATATTACAGAAAAGGACTTTTCGTAAAATGAATATATTGAATATATTTTTCAGCCCCCACAATGCTGCAGGATGTTAAAAGAAGTGCAGAAATATATGCAGTGGAAGTGGATACAATAAAAACTTGTACAAGAAATAGGGTTGTCAATCAAAACTGTATCATCCCTCACAGCAGATTTTACCATTCAAGCATTTTTTGTGGTTGCTCCTGAGCGGCTAAATGCAGCAAAAAAGCAAAAGCAGGATAATTTGTCATGTCCACCAAATTGGGTTACAAAGATGTAATGTGTTGAGAAAGAGCAGTTTTGTGTATTGCGTTTGTTCAGCCCATTAGCAGGTAATATATAGACAAGGATCATTTGTGTAAATAATTGCAGATGCTTTCCGTGAGAATTAGTTTGACACATGTTCAACAAGAAATACATTTGTGACGGGGACATGTACTGGAAAAGTTTTTGAAAAGTTTCAGCAGGCAAATGAATGGGAAGCAG